AATAAGAAACCAGAGATAAGAAATATATGTACTTGAAAAAAGTTTAATTTCTTATCATAAAAATAAAGTAAAAATGCTGTGTTAATGAATGTTACCCCGCCCTTTGTACCTGTTTCAAACCATCCCGATCAGGATCCCTCAGGCATTCTTCAGATCACTGGGCTCTGCAATCTTGAAGTTCATATGGAAGCACCGTGGCAGGACGGGACTGTCATCAATGCAGACATACTATCGCACCACCCATCTGCTGCAGATAATAGACTGGCATGTGTCCACAACAGAAAAGCAGTGGGTCCAACTGGAGTGCATAAGGGCCCGAGGATGCATCCCGCCAGGATGGACGCAGAACCCACTGCAGGACTGGGAGCTAAGGCTCATGACCAACGCGCCACTTTTAACCCTGGTAGTGCATAACCCCCGAGATAGCAGGTGGCCGAGCGCCACCCGGACGTCATTTGGCTTGGTGGGTGAAGCGCCCTGCATCTCCAAGCGTGGTGCTCAAATAACAACCTAAAACCCTTTGAGGACCTACTCGCACAGAACAGCGCAACGGGGTTACTCAAATACCGATATCACCAGGTGAAATGCTACTACACCTTGCTCCCGGGGAGACATCTCGTACACAGAGACCTTACCCAGTACGTGATGCTACGAGCTGACCGCAGACATCTACCCCGAGGGATAACGGTCCTATATGCCATGTTGCTGTCAGAAGAACAGGGCTCACCGGCAAACTACCAATCAATATGGGAACGGGACCCCTGCTAGGCTGTATTGCATGGGGATTGTACCGAATGACACTGCTGGTGCTGTGAAGCTGTAGAGGGGTCGGACCTCCACATGTGGTGGTCGTGCCCTCCAATTGCTGCCTTCTGGCAACAGATACATAACAAACTCACTGAAAACTTGGACTCAGATATACCTCTGCAACCACTCACATGCTCCTTAACCACACCACGATGCTGATCGCAAGTTATAAGAAATCCCTCACGAGACACTTCCTAAGCCAAAAGCTTAATCCCCGCCAGATAGAAATCGAAAGACGCCCCCACTATCGCACAATAGACGGAAAAAGTAGAGGAGATCTATGCGATGGAGTCTCTCACGGCGGAACTCCGAGGTTCGGTGGAGAGCTGTACCCGTCTATGGGCACCTTGGATAGAATACAGAGCCCGCCGAACGGGAGTGCAGATGGCGTGGGGGATGCGGGCCCGGCTGGGAGACGCGGCACACCCGGGACCTGGGGGATGCATAAGGCACCCAACAACGCTGACATAGACCTTCCTCCACCCCCTTCTTTTCCCCCCTTTTTTTCCCTCTCTTCCTCTCTACTCTTCTCTCTCCCCCTCTACCTCTCCTTCCCCTTTTTCTCTGCGCTTTGTCTGGTACCCTCAAACTGGCCAGTGACTGAAGATGGATAGCTGACACAGTGTCTGTTACATAGACACTGTGTCCCTCATTTACTGGAACCGCAACCACCTCCATGCCACCTGCATGCAAGACTAGTCTCGGTGCAGTGCCGAGATACACGCTAGGGAATGCTCGTGCCCAGCTGAGGGGACCTCTACCCCCTATGCACGCCAACACCTTAATTATGCATAAAACTTACAAATGTCTACTGTGATCTACATGTATGATTCCACTGCATGCAGAACTCGTTGTGCAACAGCACTCTCATGTTACTACTCTAATTTTCCTTGTATAAGATTGTCTAAAAAAAAAAAAATTAAGGATAAAAAGGAGAGTTACGAAAATAAACAAATCCCTTTTATTTTTTACTATAGTTCAGATGTAGGATGTCTGAAAAAATTAGTAATCGTAATTGGCGCATTTTAAAACAAGACTATGAATGAGATGATTTTACTGATTCAATTCAGAGATCTGTACTTGGACCCATTCTCTTTAATATTTTTATATTTTTATTAGTGGTATTGCAGAAGGTCTTGATGGTAAGGTATGTCTTTTTGCTGATGATACTAAAATTTGCAACAGGGTTGATGTTTCAGGAGAGATAAGCCAAATAAGAAATTATTTAAATAAATTCAAAAAATGGTCAGAGCTGTGGCAACTGATGTGTATAAGGATAAGTGTAAGATAATGCATCTCAGGCGTAAAAACCGAAGGGCAGAGTATAGAATATTTGATACCCTACTAACCTCAACATCTGAGGAAAGGGATTTAGGAGTAATTATTTCAGATGACTTAAAGGTAGGCAGACAATGTAATAGAGCAGCAGGAAATGCTAGCAGAATGCTTAGTTGTATAGGGAGAGGTATTAGCAGTAGAAAGAGAGAAGTGCTCATGTCATTGTACAGAACACTGGTGAGACCTCACTTGGAGCATTGTACGCAGTACTGGAGACCGTATCTTCAGAAGGATATTGATACCTTAGAGAGGGTTCAGAGAAGGGCTACTAACTGGTTCATGGATTGCAGGATAAATCTTACAAGGAAAGGTTAAAGGATCTTAACATGTATAGCTTGGAGGAAAGATGAGACGGGGGGAAATTATAGAAACATTTAAATACGTAAAGGGAATCAACACAGTAAAGGAGGAGACTATATGTAAAAGAAGAAAAACTACCACAACAAAAGGACATAGTCTTAAATTAGAGGACAAAGGTTTAAAAATAATATCAGGAAGTATTACTTTATCGAGAGGGTAGTGGATGCATGGAATAGCCTTCCAGCTGAAGTGGTAGAGGTTAACACAGTAAAGGAGTTTAAGCATGTGTGGGACAGGCAAAAGGCTATCCTAGACTTAAAATAAGGCCAGGCACTAAGTAAAAGTATTTTGAAAATTGGGCAGACTAGATGGACCGAATGGTTCTTATCTGCCGTCACATTCTAACTCTTAAAGTATAAAGATAAGAAAGAAGAAAACCCTAATAAATTCCTTATAATTTTCATTATAGCAGTAATGCAGGTGTTTTAAAAAAAGATTATAACTCGAAATTGGCATATCCTTAAACAAGAACAAGAACTGGAAGAATTGTTGGGACCATGCCCAAAATTAGTTTTTAGAGGAGCAAAAAACTTTAAACATATTTTAACGTCCAGCTATATTAAAGATAAAAACAAGAATGATAATTTTTTAAACCAATGGTCCAAGTCACAATCAGGGTTCTTTTCACTGTGGCTGCTGCAATGCGTGCAAACAAACTAAAATGACAAATAAGAAAAAAGAGGAGTTTAATGCTGTAGTGACTAATAAAACTTTTAAAATCAAGTCGTTAAAGGACCACTATAGTGCCAGAAAAACATACTCGTTTTCCTGGCACTATAGTGCCCTGAGGGTGCCCCAACCCTCAGGGTCCCACTCCCACCGGGCTGGATGTCAAGGAAAGGGGTTAAACTTACCTTTTTTCCAGCGCCGGGCGGGGAGCTCTCCTCCTCCTCTACGCCTCCGATCCTCCTCTTCGGCTGAATTCGCATGCGCGGCAGGAGCTGCGCATGCATTCAGCCAGACTCATAGGAAAGCATTTGCAATGCTTTCCTATGGACGCTGGCGTCTTCTCACTGTGATTTTCACAGTGAGAAGCACGCAAACGCCTCTAGCGGCTGTCAATGAGACAGCCACTAGAGGCTTTAGAGGCTGGATTAACCCATTTATAAACATAGCTAGAACCGCCATCAGGGCATGACAACCGCAACGGTTGTCATGGGCCCGGCAGTCCTGGGGGGCCCGGACTGCTCAGGTCGTCCGGGCCCCAGATTCAGTGGGTACATACCGGGTCGCAGGGGGCCCTGCGACCCGGTATGTACCCACAGGGCCAGCCTCTTCTCCTGGGGGCCCAGCAGCCGGTCACCTCAGGGCCCCCCAGAGGCTGGCCCTGCTGGCACCCGGTGGGCGCGCGAGGGAGCACTCTCTGTGTGCTTCCTCTTCAGCTCGCGCACCCGTACGTGCCGGCGGAAGATGACGTCATCTTCCGGCTCCGGCATCAATACGGTGCGCGAGGGAGCTGAAGAGGAAGCACAGGGGTGTTAACCACCAGCGCGCCTGCCAGTGTCAGGGTCCATCATCAAAACATCCATCATCAAAATATTCATCAAAATTCATCCCACTCCATCAAAACACACACACACACACATCAAAATACACACACACCACACACACACATCACACACACACTGCACACACACACACTGCATCACACACACATCCACACACACACACACATCACACACACACATCACACACACACACATCACACATCATTCAACACACACACACACACACAGGTCAGTCCAGCTAGAGCCCATCATCATCCTCATCTGGTTGTAAGTAGGCAATCTAGTATATTATTCGTGGCACTAATCTCTAATTTACCTCACATTAAAGGGACACTATAGTCCCCAGAACCACTGCAGTTAACCACTTAATATAGTGGTTCTGGTGTCTATAGCCTGTCCCTGCAGGCCTTTTATTGTAAACACGGCGGCACTGCAGCACTGTGTTAGTTAACATGGCAGATCATATGGGTGGGGCATTGTGATGTCACATGGGGGCGGCAAACTTTACTTTTGCCTAGGGCGGCAAAAATCCTTGCACCGGCCCTGCAGACACTGCATCCCTGTGGGCGGACTCAGGAGGGGGACGGACGGACGGACGGACTCGGGTGCAGGCACCGGGGGGCCCAGACCTTGAGCTGTGTCAGGGGCCCCAAAATTTCTGATGGCAGCCCTGAACATAGCAGTTTCTCTGAAACTGCTATGTTTATAAAAAAAAGGGTTAATCCTAGAGGGACCTGGCACCCAGACCACTTCATTAAGCTGAAGTGGTCTGGGTGCCTAGAGTGGTCCTTTAATAACTTGTGAAACAAAAAATTTAGTGTACCTATTAAAATGCCGGTGTAACCAACAATACGTGGGAAAGACAAGTAGATAACTTAAAATACGTATTAACAAGCATATTAGAAATATTAAAAAAGGTTTTATAAATCACAGTGTGTCCAAACATTTCCTGGACCATCATCAATCTGACCCCTGGAATTTTTAGGGATTGAAAGGGTAACAGGACACTGGAGAGGTGGGGATAGTGTCTGCAGTTTGGATAGACAAGAGTTAAAATGGATCTTTGAACTGCAGACACTGTCCCCAAAAGGTCTAAATATTGATTTCGATATAGGCACTTTACTGTAAGCAATTTACACTCTATTACAACACTTTAATTATTTATTTATTTTTTGGTTGTACATAGACAAGAGTACCTTAATTTAGTTTACTATATTAGCTGGGATTTTCTTCTTTTCCCTTTTGATATATATGTCACCTTTTATGTACCCCTCCTCCTTTCCTTTTTAAACATATTTTATGTTAAAGTTATATAATAAAATATGGCTTTTCCTTTTTAAATATATTTTATGTAAAGGCTATATTATGAGAGAGTTTGTTTCAAACATTATGTTTAAATTGCAAAGATTTTATTTCGAAGTATATTTTTTTAATTGGTTAAAACAGTAAAAAATGGTGAGAGCACAGAGAAACAATAATTACCCTTATATTCAATATAAAACCTGTAAAAACACAATGGGAAAAACAGGCATAGGGTAATAACGTACAAATAATATATGAATGAGTAAATACTTGAATAAACTCACATATTCATGAGCCACTTAATATGGAAGCTGGCTCAGACTAGGAACATTGAATGGATTAGTGAGGTGGTTGTTGTAATCCAACTGCTTAATTGCTTGCTCCTTCTTGCTTTACAAAATCCAGGATGCAGGATCTTTAATGAAAACCTTTATTCGGTATAGCAGCAAAAAAAGACAGCAGCAGTAAAAATTAAAATTCAGCAATTCCACCTCTGCACACTAACGCGTTTCAGCCAAAGCCTTTATCAAAGTGTGAGTCCATTCAGTCAGTTCCATTTTTAAATAGGCAAATTTTCGCGCCTTTTTTCGGAAATAAGCTCCTCCCCCTTTTTTTTTGTTGTTGTTGCAACTTTATTGGGCATCCTAGCATCCTTAACGATCTCAATTTACTTCCATGTTCATTGAAGAAAAGGAACAGCGAACTAGTCCATTCACTTAAACAGTCTTTCATGTTGCAATAATCAGAGTCCTATTGGCAACATACTTCATACATATTGTCAATAACATTAAAACAAATATTATAGTCAGATATTCTTATTGCAATACGTAGAATATTAGCAACAGTTAAACTCTCTCTTTCTCAAAAAAAGGATTAAAAAAGGTAAAAGAGAGGCAAAAGAAGAGGGAATAAATTTAAAAGGGAAATAAAAGATCAAAATAGAAAAATCTTCTTATTCACATTTAAAGGTATATCGGGAGAATGCATCATACTTAAAATACACTTATTATAATCAATATTTATAAAATATTAATCAGTATTACTAAAATTAGAATTAAAAAATATCTTATTAATATAAAACAACCTAAAATAATCTCCAATAGATTTTGGTTTGAAAATGACTTTTACCTCCAAACCAAGGGAACTGCCATGGGGACCAGATTTGCCCCGAGTTATGCCAACCTTTTTATGTCATTTTGGGAAGAAAAATATGTTTTTTCTAGGTTGGACATAGGGGCAAGTCTGGTCCTCTATAAAAGATATATAGATGATATTTGTATTATATGGAGAGGCAGTTCCAAATCTTTACTAGATTTTATTGATTCTCTTAACAATAATATGTGGAATATTAAGCTGACCCATGTCATTAGCCCCTCAAATATTAACTTTTTAGATTTAGATATTTTTATAGATAATGGTGTAATTAAGAGTCGGACATATTTTAAATCTGTAGATGTTAATAGTTTTATTGATTTTTCCAGCTGCCATTTTAAACCATGGTTATCAAACATACCAAAAGGACAATTTTTAAGGTTGAAGAGAAATTGTACAGATGAACGGGATTTTAACGATCAGGTTAAAATTTTAGAAAAACAATTTTTAGAAAAGGGATATGATAAAAATATTCTAGAAAAAGCCTATAAACAGGTAAAAGAGGAAGACCGTTTAGAAATTTTGAAATATAAAGATAAGCAAGCTAAAAAAGAAGGACTAGAAACTATCCCATTAATTTTTAATTTTAATTCTAACAACCGCACTTTACGTAAAATTATTGATAAAAATTGGCATGTTTTAAAGTTAGATGATGAGTTACGCCCACTAATAGGAGAAAAAGCTAAATTAATTTTTAGAGGCGCTAGAAATTTTAAGCAAATTTTAACTAGCAGCTTCCAAGAGAAAGAAAAGAAAGAATGTTCCAATAACTTTTTAAAGGAACAGAAAGGATTCTTCTATTGTGGAAATTGTAGAGGGTGTAAAGTAAGAGCTGGGAAAAATAGAAGAATTTTTAAATTCATTTCTTTTAATACTAAAACAGAATATGAAATTAAACACTTTATCACATGCAATACTGCTGATGTTGTTTATATGATAACATGTCCCTGCGGGTTACAATATGTAGGGAAAACGTCTCGTTCATTAAAAATACGAATTAGGGAGCATATATACAACATCAGGAGAAGATTCCCTAACCATTGTTTATCTAAACATTTTTTGGAATATCATGATGGAGACCCAGCAGGCCTGGATTTTTTTGCAATAGATCATATTAAAATACACTGGAGAGGGGGTGATAAGGATAATCTTTTAAGCAAAAATGAGATGAAATGGATTTTTAATTTGGATACACTTACACCGGGGGGATTAAACGTAGATTTTGAAATTAATACTTATATTTAACTATAATTATTTATTAAATCTATTGGAGATTATTTTAGGTTGTTTTATATTAATAAGATATTTTTTAATTCTAATTTTAGTAATACTGATTAATATTTTATAAATATTGATTATAATAAGTGTATTTTAAGTATGATGCATTCTCCCGATATACCTTTAAATGTGAATAAGAAGATTTTTCTATTTTGATCTTTTATTTCCCTTTTAAATTTATTCCCTCTTCTTTTGCCTCTCTTTTACCTTTTTTAATCCTTTTTTTGAGAAAGAGAGAGTTTAACTGTTGCTAATATTCTACGTATTGCAATAAGAATATCTGACTATAATATTTGTTTTAATGTTATTGACAATATGTATGAAGTATGTTGCCAATAGGACTCTGATTATTGCAACATGAAAGACTGTTTAAGTGAATGGACTAGTTCGCTGTTCCTTTTCTTCAATGAACATGGAAGTAAATTGAGATCGTTAAGGATGCTAGGATGCCCAATAAAGTTGCAAAAAAAAAAAAAAGGGGAGGAGCTTATTTCCGAAAAAAGGCGCGAAAATTTGCCTATTTAAAAATGGAACTGACTGAATGGACTCACACTTTGATAAAGGCTTTGGCTGAAACGCGTTAGTGTGCAGAGGTGGAATTGCTGAATTTTAATTTTTACTGCTGCTGTCTTTTTTTGCTGCTATACCGAATAAAGGTTTTCATTAAAGATCCTGCATCCTGGATTTTGTAAAGCAAGAAGGAGCAAGCAATTAAGCAGTTGGATTACAACAACCACCTCACTAATCCATTCAATGTTCCTAGTCTGAGCCAGCTTCCATATTAAGTGGCTCATGAATATGTGAGTTTATTCAAGTATTTACTCATTCATATATTATTTGTATGTTATTACCCTATGCCTGTTTTTCCCATTGTGTTTTTACAGGTTTTATATTGAATATAAGGGTAATTATTGTTTCTCTGTGCTCTCACCATTTTTTACTGTTTTAACCATTTATTTATGTGAGGTGGAGTGACCCACATTGCTGGTGATTGTAGCACTTTGTCTTATATTGTTTTTTTCACCATATATACACTTATTTTACTATATTTTTTTAATGTATATTCTTCTTTGCCCATATTCTAAGCCCTTACATAAGATGGATATTGGACTTAAAAGGCATTCCTTTTACTTCCGGGTTACGAACCCGAATGCTTCACGTCGTTACGTCATCACGTCGGCATGATGACGTTCAAGCCACAGGAAATTGGAAGACATCAGACCGCCATCTTGGAGTCCTGGAATGATGAAAAAAGCTGACAGATGTACACTGAAGGGGAGAGAAATCGGAAAAGCTTCCAACACTATCATGGAGGTCTCAGTTGAAGAACTTTAAGACAAGTATTTATGATTATATTGTGGGTGGGTTTTGTATGTATTTTGGGAGGCTTTTTATGGGATGAAGGATGCCTGACCTTCTCAAGATGGCGGAACTAAACGGAAATACCTTATATGGACTTTGATCATCATGTGCTTTGAATTGTCTAATTATTTGTATGTATATATTAGAATGATGTGAACTCAGTAGGTTATGCACCTGAGGAAGACCAGTTACGGTCGAAACACGTTGTGCTTATCTATTTTACCACTTATCGTGTGTTTTATTTAGATTTTTGTAATACAATATATTTATTTTATCATGGTTCCTGATTTTCATCACATCTACGGGACCCATTGACTAAACAACACGTGGAGTGGTTATATAATACCTACCGAATTCAGAGTCGACCTTAAGGGCTCAAAAATATGTGAGTGTTCTCCATATTTAATTCTATGGATATTATCTTTTATACAGTCTACGCTATGGTGGTTTTATGTTTATATTAATAGGTTCTACTGATGCCGAAGTGAAGTACACCTAGTACTTTGTGCGCTATCACTTCATTTTCTTCCAAGATTTTATGTATGTATAAGTGTGATGTTGGCATAGCACTTGGGTGATTTTAGCTGCACGGTTTTAGGATACTATTGTGGTGCCATTGTCTTTAATTTCTTGTATATATTGTATACTGGGCAAATGCCCTGTGGGCACAGGATCTCCCCAGTCGGCACAGGATCTCCCCAGTCGGCCCATTCAGAGCCGGCGCTATCCGGCCCACAGGCACTGATATGTGGCCAAAGAAAGGCAAGAGAGAACCTGGGGAGCTCTAGCGGACCCGGACAGAGCGTTGCTGCTGTTACCATGGCAACGTTCAGATCTCGCGAGAGTGAACTCTAGTGAACCTGCAGGCTAGTGTTCACTCTCACCACAAAGACCACCAGGGATGGCAGCACGGCTCCCCCCCTCCCTTCTTACCTTCAGCCTGGGGATAAAACGTTTTTGTTTGTTTTTATAAATAAAAAATAAAAAAACTTTTTTAAATAAACATATACACACACAAACACACACTGCACCCTCACAAATACACAGCACCCTCAGACAAACAGACATCACCCTCAGACACACAGCACCTTCACACACACACACAGTACACACACACACAAACACATATGTAATATATAAAATAACCCTCAGTGAGTTAAAAAAGAAAATTAGAAAC